TGAAGCACACACCTGCCAGGATGGGAGAGCAGAGCAGTGAGAGGGGCGATCGAGGCGTATGGGAGGTGTTTAACAGATAACCAAGGTAACCACACACACAGAGCAGACAGCACATTGCAAACACAACCAGGTGGCGTACCAAAGAGGCGGTGGTGAAACATGTGGTCTAGCATGCCCAACCACTCGCGGCACTTCTTCATCCGCTGCGCGTTGTCGTAGAGATAGCACGACGGCCGGAAAAGCTTGGAGCCGGCCAGGTTCTTGAGGTCTTCCAGGCGGAACTCCAGTCGCGCATCGCAGACCTTCGCAAACTCCTGACACACCGCCTTGCAGGAGTAGTAGTCCCCGCCAGTCTTATGGCCTGGGATCTTGCGCTCGTGAAGCACGAACTCGTGCTCTGCAACCTCGCCGTTCTGGTCCACGCCTTTGACGGTGACTTCGCGGTGCTGTGGGTTGCCGTGTTTCTTCAAGAACGCGCGGAGCAGGGGCGACTGGTCGTTGCCGGAATGATCCTCGCAGTCCACGTAACGCACCTCGATCGTCCGGCAAGCGAGCGACACCTCCCCCACGTGATATCAACCTGTGAGTGGGGGTGGGATGAATAGTTGCTGCCAGAGGTTGATGTACAATGGGTTAGAACGGCGCACAACAACCGCCACTTACAACAACGGGGAACATGGCAGTGAAACAACCGCAAACTTGTACAACCAAAACACTCCACATGTTACCAGCTATTTCTGGAACTTGGTGTTGAGCTCGTTGAGCACGGCAAGAATGTCTACAAGGAAGAAAAGCATGAAGTGGGATTTGAAAGAGGTGATCGTTTCATAGAGCGCGTGCTTGAAATCGTGTAGCATGACGATCGTCGCCAGCAAAACCTTGGCGAACCGCTTGACTGCCTCTCCTCTAGAGAGCCATCGTACATCGTGAATCCTCTTCAACTCCAAGTTGGTTACGCAGATTTACTCCTGAAGGTGCTCGAATTGCCGGTGCCAGTTGCTCGACCTAGAAAGCTGCTCCACCACGTTGCGCATCGCCTGGTCTATGATGTTGAACTCCGTCACCTTCTCAGTGGCATCCTTCGCGGCCAACGCCTCCCTGCTCAAGGTAGAACAGAGGAAACGAGCGATTGAAGTGAGTGGGCAGTACATGATCAACACTACACACCTGCCATAACGCCAATAACACAGACGGACTTACCTATGTGCAATGCAGTGGCACGACACGAGATAGGGATTCCGCTGCCGGAGTCGCGCCACAACACCATTGCTGGTGCCCGTCATGACTCTGGCACCGTCGGTGCTGATTCCAACGATCTTGGACATGTCAATGCCCACGGCGTCAAGGTGGGTCAGTTGTACGTCGACGAGACTTGCCGCGTCACATTTGTCAACTGTCAGCAGCGTGAGGAACTCACAGACGCTCGCTCCCTCCTTCATGAAGTGGACGTAGACGATCAGGTGCTTGCCGCGCGCCTTGTCAGTACTCTCATCGAGCTGAATGGAGATGTACGGGCTCGCCTCGAGCTACTTTAGTTGCTCTTGCCGCATGTACTTCGCGGCAGCATCTAGTAGCTCCCCGAAACCGTACCTGCATGATAGAAGCACAGAGGTTAGCACGTTGCCAACCAATTCAGTTGTGACGGAACAAGTACAACGACAGCACGTACCCCGAAACTTACTCCGAAAAGTAGTTTCCCTTGGAATCCAAGGGAAGGTTTGGGACTCCGAGCTCGGCCATGAACTTGATGGTGCCTATGTAGGAGGTTATTGGCGCCTCCTACTTGCAGATGTACACGGTAGTCTTGAGAGCGGTGATGATGTGAAGCGTGTTGCGATCCAGCCCCTTGAACTCGCTCAGCAGCGTTTGACGAAGCTTCCGGCTCTCCTTTGACTTCATCTCGGCGTGTGCGTCCTGGTGTGTGGTGGAGCGCTGGTGCGTCCGGATGCTCCCTTTCTGCATGTCACGCCCTCCACTGCCTCCCTTGCCATAAGTCGTTTTCGCGCCTTCAGCTCCATGTTCCAAGCACATGCTGCATCTCAAAATGGGGAAGCCAACGTCATCACGAGTTAAAATTAGCCACGGAAGCAAAGACTCCCATGACGTCTTAAATCGCTTATGCGCTTTAGCGAACGCGACTTCGGGGTAACGGGCCATCTCTTCGACAGTCGGCAGGACGTCTTCATCCTCCTCGTCATCACTCCCCTCGTCCTCCACTCGTCGGATTGGACGTGCCGCCTGCTTCAAAGAGGGCTTCGGTTGTCGCCACCACTGCTTAGCACCGCCACCGCTTGACTCTTTGCGCTTCTTGTTCGCAGAGTCGCCAGCCGCATCCCCTATCTCCGTTTCAGGCGCCGTCGCTTCTGGAGGTGAAGGTTCCGTCGTAGTACTGCAAACTTCAGGTGAGCGCAGGTCACGCCCCGATTCATCAATGCGGGTTTCATCCTCGGTTGAAGCAACTACGGGCTCCGATTTGACAGCTTCTTAGCGGGGGTTCGTAGAAAGCTGAGGCCTGTTCGCGGGGGTGATTTTTGGAGTGACGACGTGCGTCAGAATCAATGGTTCCGTCAGCAGCCATGGCGAGAGCCAGAGGGGTGGATGCACGATTTGGGCCTACGCTAGCTGTATGAGAGCATGGTGGTGAGGTGGTTTGCAACCCCTAGACTAGACGAGATAGCGAGGAGGCAGAATTGAGAAATGAAACGAGGAGGACTGGGTTGGGTGCGTGGGAGAGACTGGTCGGTGGGTGAGGGCCTGCTGGGGAGGGAAGAAGATGCTTCCAAGCAGGACACACCTCCTGCACGAAGCAGGTGTGTGTGGCGCTGCGCGGCATTGCCAGCTAGGAAAATTGTATGTGAGCCAGATACAGTTTACGGGACTGTGGCAGTGGCGACGCGAGCCGTCAAGGCGACGTGCACATCTGCTGACTCAGGCAAAACGCCGCTAATCACGGCCCAAACCTCGTCACTCCCCCCCCCGCCGCGTTAAATCGCATCAGGGTGGTACACGACACTAGTATTTGTCATCAGGGCGAGTACACCAGGCCTCTTAAATATCAGTGTTAACAAAATGAACACCTTTTCGGCTAAGGGTGCCTCAAAAAACAACCTTTAAAAACAAGGGTGATCACCTAAACCCACCCTTATGGTAAGGGCCATAAAGGTGACTTACCCTGATATCGAGAGGCCTGCCAATCAATCTTCCGCTGGTACATTGTGTGCGATCAACCTGGGGCGATCCTATTAATACAGTTCAGATTGTAACATTACCGGGCCTGACACCATCCAAGAACGTACCCTTTTCCCTCCTTTATTCAACAGCACGAGAAGCTACTCCTAGGTGGGTTGAAGACTATTTTTGAAATATTTGGGTTCATAAGAGCGCATAGATAAAGCAAACATGTACTGTTCCCACAGCTCTCTTCCCAAATCTCCCCCCACCTCCCTGATCCTCGCGCCCCTTTGTTTCTCTCCTTTCTCCCCAAACCCCTTCTGCACTGTACACCCCCTCTCTCCAGCTGTTTCTTGTCGTAACTCGAGAAACACAGTCCGAATCTGCCAATGAAGATGCGTCATGTCAATCGGTCCCCCGACGAGGAATAACGCCCTGCAAGTCAGAGTGCGAATTGTTTGGTAGAGCCTATCACGAAGACACATCCGAATGCGGCGGTTCTCGGTACGACTCAGAGTGGTCCATTCAGACGGTGAATGGATATACACGTACACAACACAATTGCATTTGAAGTCACTGTAACAATGTGAGCCGGTGCGCTTGGTCCGCGTCTGTCCAGCCGACTTTTGTTTCGTTGCCAACGAACTGACCTTTGCTACATGAATTGTGTGAACTATGTTACATATTGTCGGCCACTGCCGTCGCGACCAGATATGTAGGAATTATATCACAACTTCGCTCATGGCGAGTTACATTCTTTAAGCATTTGTACCTATAATAAAAGGTTTAAAAATTGAGATCCACGTGTATTACTTGAGATGTGATGATGACATGACATTTGTGGCTCCACATGACTGTACATGTACACTCCCCGCCGCGACCGACGACGAAACAGTCTGTTGTGCGTGCGTCAAACGTAGCGTAACCCTCGCTAACCGACCAACTTCTCTGATCGTAATTTGTCGTGACTCGTGCGGTGGCCTGTGTCCTTGAGTCAATCAGTTGCATCACCCGTTCTTCTCCCTCCCGCTCCCCCCTCCCTCCCACCCTACAAAGCTCGTCCCCGCCCGCTCCCTTCCCATGCTTGCTCTGACTCCTCTCCCCACATTCCCCTTGGGCACTCTCCTCTCCACCCCCTGAATTGATCTGCCATCAAACCTCCCACTCACCATGCTTTGCGATGCTATGCGACAGGATGGGACTAGACCGTCGCCATGTCTTCAGGGATTAGTCGCTGTCTGCACCAGACGTTGCAGCAGCAGCAGCAAGAATTTTATCAGTGGCGTGGCGTCTAGATCGGACCTCTCGGCAGGCACTTGCGCGATGACTGTCGCACATCGCTCATGACCGCACCAGCATCACGTGGATGCTATCTCATTCGAGCTTCGAGTGATTGCATGTGAGAACGACCGGCGAGGATAGGGCAGGAGGACCGATGTTCGCACCTCCATCGTCCGTACTCGTATTCCAAGTCCTAGCAGCAGGCCCGCGAAAGTAGGCCTTTCGCTGGCTCTAGATCGGCCAACACATTTCCTCGTCGCGGAGTTACTTTTGCGAAACTCGCGCGTTCCGACGGCGAACTTAGTAGCGCGTCAATAGCGGGTGACGGGCTGCAAACGCCGTGCGTACAATTAGTCACATGGCATTCCCCTCCATTTTCCTCGCCATATCGCCAACCCTAACTCCTTAATTTAACAGCCGCAGCGTGTCTCCACACGCAAACCCTTTCCCCACACCACCGCCACTAGAAGTAGCAACAGCACCAGCGCGCCCCCTCCCCCGTCTCCTCCACCCCCGCTTACACATCACTCTCGATCGCGCCGCGCGCCATGGCCACCGCGTCGTCCTCCGTGTCGCGCGCGTGGGACTCGATCCTCGGCTCCGACTCCCTCGACTCCCCGCCCGCCGCCTCCCCCTCCGACTCCCGCTCCCCCTCCGCCAGCGCCCCCTCCGCCGCCTCCGACGCCGCGTCGCTGCTGGAGCGCCTGTGCCCGTGGACTAGCGTGGAGTTCGGCTATCCTGGGTCTCTTAACTACCGCTCGTTGCTGCTGGACTTTCACGGGCAGTTGGTGTCGCCGTGGCATCACGTGCCGCTGCACGCTAAGAACGGCGCGCTGCACTTCGTGTGCAAGACGCCGCAGGATTGCTGGGTCAAGTACGAGGCGGCTCCCGACGAGGATTACACGCCCATCCGCGTTCACCGCGCTCCCGCTCCCGCCGCCGCCGCTGCTTCCGCGAGCGGTGTTTCGTCTCCGTCGCCGTCGCCGTCACATCTGCAGCCGCCTTCGCACGTGCAACAGGGCCCGCCGAGCCGCGACGGCGAGGAGTCGAGGCGAGAGGACCTCGGTCTGCCGCGGCAGGAGGGCGTCTTGAAGGAACGCGCCGCGGTGGACTGGACGCGGCTCCGGCCGCAGCACTACGCGGAGAACTCGATGTTCAACGTGGGGTTCCTTCCACAGACGTACGCGGACCCCGAGCAGCCCGCGGGAGCGGACGCCGCCGGCGGAATTTTCGGCGGCGGTGGCGGCGGAGGTAGTGGCGGCGTGTGGGAGGGTTTGGTGAACGACGGGCGACCGATTGAGGCGATCGAGATCGGCGGGAAGCGCATGCGCACGGGGGAGGTCTGCTCCGTGCGCCCGCTCGCGGTGTTCGCGGTCGCGGGGCCGGCGCGCGCAGAGATGAGCGCGGAGGGGGGAGCGGGTGGGGGAGGAAGCGTGGTAGGCCGAGGGGCAGGTGAGGGGGAAACTGAACGCGACAGCGGAGCGGAGGGACGCGCGGAGGGGCGGCGGACGCTGTCGTGGGTGGTGGTGGTCGTTTCCACGGAGGACGCTTTAGCGAGTGTGATACAAGAGGGGGCGACGGGGATACCATCCGTGCTGTTACCCGTGCTGGAGCAGATAGTGGAGTGGGTGCGCTTCGCGCCTTGCGTGAATCACGGTGAGCGCGCGCCGTGGCTTATCCGAACGCCGCATGTTTAAGATCGTTATATTATTTTGCTTCGTCCTATGTCAGGTTGGATCCATTATTTCCATTGCTTCCATTGATTCTATCACTTCGCCCCACTCCCACCCACTCCGCCCCACTCCGCCCCACTCCGTCGCTTCCGCTCCCCCGCCTCCCCCCTGGCAGACGACGACGAGGCGGAGTTTCCGCTGGGCGAGGAGCCGGGCGGAATGCAAGCGGCCATGGTGGTGGTGGCGCAGGCGCACTGCGCATGGCAGCTGCTGGCGGACGACTGCCCGCCGCCGCCCCCCTGGGTCCCCGCGGACCGCGTCCTTTCCGCCTCCGCACTGCACCAGATCTGGCAGTCGCGCGGGTACCTCCCCCCCGTTCCGCCGCGCGTTGCGTCCTCCGCCTCCGCCGCCAGAGCCGCATCCCCCGCGCCGTTCCCCACGTCCTCCTCCGCCCCTCTGGGCCCGGGCCCGCCGCCCTCCCCTTACACCTCCGCCTCCGCCTCCGCCAGCGCATCCCGCCCCACGCCTCTCCCCCCCAACCTGTCCATGCCGTCACTGCATCTCACCGCTTCCTCCTCCTGCTCTTCCCCCTCCGCTTCCCCCCTCCATACATCCAATCCTCCCGCGGACTCCGCCTACGCGCTCCCCCCAGTCTCCCCCTCCTTCCCCTCCCCGCCGCCGTTCTCCGCGTCGTCTCCGTCCGCGTCGCCCCCGCCCGCGCTGCCGCCGTTCGGCGCGATCCCCATGTCGGACCAGCGCGTGGGTTCGTCTGCGCGGCGGAACGAGGCGTGGGCGCGCGCGTCTATAGATTCCCTTGCCTTCTCCTCGCTCTCTCTCTCTATCGACTCCTCCTTCCTCTCCAGCGGCTTTGGCAGCGGCGGCGCGGGCAGCAGCAGCGCGGGGCACAGCAGCAACGGCAGCATTGGCGGAAACAGCAGCTGTGACGGGGACGTGGGGGGCGCAGGCGCGGGCGCGGGTGGGGGCGGGGGCGCGCGGGGTAGGGTGGAGGAGGGGCTGGGCAGGGGAATGTTTCGGGGGGGACTGGGGGGTAGCGGAGGGGCTGGGGGGAAGCGCTGCGGGCTTCCGCGGCCCGCGAGCTCGGACAACCTGAAGCGGTTCTCGAGCGCGCCCGCTGAGCGGGAGAGGGGCGAGGGGAAGCAGCGCGAGTGGCGCAGGGCGCAGAGGGCAGGCGGAGGGGCGGGGAAGAGAATCGAGGGAAGCAGCCTGGGGTCGCAGGGGGAAGGGAAGAAACAGCACAGCAGAGTAACAGCAGCGGGAACAGCAGCGGCAGCGGCAGAAGCAGAGGGGTTGAGTGATGAAGGGCGAGCGGATGCGGATGCGGAGGGGGAAGGGGAAGGGGTTGGGTCGGGGGAGTTCCAATTCGACGTGGTGCAGATCCCCGGGTGTGGCTTCCACCTGCTCAGGCACGCCGCGGGGGGCATGGGCGCGGGGGAGCTGGGCGCGCCCATGGACGGCGGAGGCGGAGCAGCCATTGGGGGGAGCTTCAGGGGAAGTGGGAGGGAGCGGAAGGCGCACAAGGGGGGGGGTGGGAGCAGCAGCAGCAGCAGCGGGAGCAGCTTCAGCAGAGGCGGGCTTGGGAGCATGAGTGCGAGGAGCAGCAGTAGCAACAGGCACGGGGGGGGCGGAGGGGCGGGGAGCAGCAGCGGCAGGAAGGCGTACTGGGCAGGGGACTTGCTCAAGGGCAGCATTCCCGTGAGAGCAGGCTTTGGCAGTGCAAGGAGGGCGCCGTCGGGTTATGGTCCCCGAGGGGAGGCAGGTTCGGGCGAGGGAGGAGGAGCAGCAGCAGGAGGAGGAGGAGAAGGAGAAGGTGTTTCGTCGGTTCATCTCCTCTCGGCATCTCACCGCGGTGGTGCCTTTTCCAGTCCTGAACGGTCCGGATTTTCTGCAGTGGCAGCGGCTGATTGGGCTGCTAGAAGCAGTGCTGTCCCTCACAATTCCTCCTTCTCTGCTGCTGCTGCTGCTTCTGCTTCTGCTGAAGATACTGGTATTGCTGGAGGGCCCAATGTTGGGCCGGTGGAAAGTTCCAGGTCATCGTCTGTGGCTGTAGCAGCTGCAGCAGCAGCAGGAGCAGGAGCAGCAGCTGCAGCAGCCACAGCTCGATCTGGCTCTGCCCCTCCTTCCCGCCTGGAGACGTTCTTCAGCCTCCGAGGCTCCTCGTTACAGTCTCAGTCACAGCTGCAGCAGCAGCAGCAGAGCGCGCTGCTGCTGCCACGTGGCGCTCCCTCGTTGGAGAGGCTGTTCGGTCACCGCAAGGGTAAGGGCAGCAGCCACAGCGGCAGAGGGGAACTGGGAGGAGGAGCAACAGAGGCCTATGCAGACAATTATGAAGCTTCAGCAGCAGCAGCAGCAGCAGGCGGGGAGCTGTTTGGGCGCGGACTGTCTCTGAGCAGGGCAGAGAGGGAAGTGAGAGTGGAGCGAGAGGAGCGAGAGGAGACGGGGGAAGACGGTGCTGGGGTGTTCAACCGCCAGTTGAGCCTGGACCAGCTGTACCTGCGGAGGAAGAAGAGAGCAGAGAGGAGGCTCAGGGGCGCAAATAGCAGCGCCTCAGATGCGCCTCCCCTCTCGCCTCCTGCTAGCTCGGCTCTGGGGTGGGTTCTTGGGGGAGGGAAGTTCAGCAGCAGTGGTGGTAGCAGTAGTGGTTATGAGGGTGGGAGGAGGCGAGGCGAAGAGAGTGTGGGGGGCGCGCAGCATGGTAATAGCAGCGATGATGCGACACTCGTTGCGTTCCGTCTTTCCCCGTCCCTTGTGTCCTCGCACCCTGGTGGTGCGACGGCCAGTGAATCCATGGCCTGTTCAGAGGGGTCAGCGGCGCATGAGACGGCACCAGCCATGGGTGGTTTAGCTCGTAGCATCGGCAGTGGCAGCGGCGGCGGCGGCGGTGGCAGCAGCACAGGGCTTCAGGGCAGGTGGTGTGATTTGATAGAAGAGTATGGGGGGTCTGGTGCTAGAAGCAGTGCGAGTCCGACTGAGCCTGCCCGGCCGCCCCTCCCCCGCCCACTCCCTCCAAGAGCCCCTTCGCTCACCAAGCAGGGGCTGGGGGGAAGGCCAGGGGAGAAGGGGGGTGAGGGGGCGGAGAGAGAGGATAGAGGGGCGGATGGAGAAGAGGCAGTGGTAGAGGGTGCGGACGAGGGGCAAGAAGATGGTGGAGACCTGGGGTTGGATTGCAGTGCAAGCAACGGCAATGGAGCTGGCAGCAGCAGCAGCTGTGTTGTCAGTTGGGAGGAGCATGAACGCCAGGCGGAGGAGAGTGGCGTTGCCCCATCTGCTGCTTCTCCATCTGCTGCTGCCTCAACCGCTGTATGTGCTTCCAGTGCAGAAGCATCGGAGGCAGCAGCAGCAGCAGCAATGGCGGCAGCAGCAGGGATGAGGAGTCCGAGCAGGGTGGGGAAGCGGCAGGTGTCGTTCCACTCGGTGGTCAAGGTGATTGAGTTTGTGCAGGCACGGGAGGGAGAGGACAGCAGCAGTGGCAGCGAGTGAGCGATGATGGCCTGCTGTGTGTGTCATCAGTGGAGTGGAGCGGGAGAGGGGACTGATGTGTGTGTGCAGTGCACATCTGTTGACAGGTGTTGCCGGCTCTGCAGGGTGTGTGTTCATTATGACGACGGGGGTGTCAAGTCAGGTCAGCTTGATGCAGGGAATGACAGGCGTCAGATGTGTGGTTTTGTGTGGTCCAGCCAAGTGTGGATTTTAGCACCCGTGAGTCTTGAACTTGTGTGCAATCAGCTTATAGGGTGTTGCAATGACTGCTATTCTTTCGTTATACATTGCATTTGATATAGACAATTTGTAGGTTATTGTTACGAGTGCAATTGAGTGATCGAGCGAATTGCACTATCGAAGCAAGAGTACAGTGAGCGAAGGCATGAGCGAAGAATATATAGCAAAACCACAGTGGTAACGGTAATGAACTGTGGGTGACACGCGACGGGCCTGGAAGTGAGGTTGGGAAAATGTCGAGGCGGAGGCCCGGAGCGCGGGTTACCCGCCGAGCCGTGAGGTCGGGGTGCAACGTGCGAAGGTGGCGTGTAAGGAATTTCGCTAATTCCTTACTGAGGCACCTCTTACGCGTACAATTCCACCTTTCGGAATTCAGGCTCGGTCCGTCGACCTCGCCTCCCGAACGTCTCCCGCGTCGCCTTCGGGTTTCCCAACCCCAAACCTACATCCAACCTTCGCGCGACTCCGCGACCTCGGCTTAGCTAGCTGTGCTATATTATGCCTAGGCCTCGTTGTTTGCTCAGTTAGTTGTAATCACTTCCGCGATATTGCATTCTGCGCACTCTTCTTTCATACAACTCATAACACTTGGTATCAGAGCTACTTTCCTAGGTTACCCTCCACTTTCCGAGGTAGTTTTAGTGCAGGGGTGCGATAGGTTTGGTGGGCTGCAAAGCGGTCGGCTGAGAGATAGATACGATTATCTCGCTCCGACTAATAGCGTTTGCGCCTTCATCAAAACCATAAAAATCGCTGTTAACCCGCTGCCCGCTAGGATGAGTCTCCGAAATATGACACAAGCAGAGTTTGACGTGTTCTTGCAGGACTTTCGGGCGATGCAGTCCAACATGCAGACTATGTCTGGCGAGTTGGATCGCCTGAGGGTGGAAAACGCCGAGCTACGCCAGACGCGAGGTGAAGCGTGTCAGGAGTCGCCCGCCGTGGATGAAGCAAGTAGCAGCTTCCCGCCTAACGACGAGGTCCTCAGCGAGCTACAGAACTCGCTGGATGCTGAAGATGAGTGGACGGCACGGACGCAACGAGCACAAGGGACGCAGGAACAACAGACACAGCCGCAGCAACAGACACGAGCGGCGCCGAGGCAACAGTCGCAGACTACGCCACGTCAGGCAACAGCGACAACCACGGTGATGGCTTCAGTGGCGCCCCCGATGCATACAGCAGCAACAGTCTCAACAACTGTTAAAATAAAGCTGACGAACCCGCCCCCGTTCAATCCCAGCGACAAAACCGTCACTGTGTCGGCATGGTTGTTTGGTGTAGAGGTGTTTTTCAGTGCTGCGCAAATTGCTGACGATGCTACCCGCATTAATTTTGCAGTGTCACTGTTACGAGGACCGGCGTTGGAATGGTGGAAGCGGACTCTTCAGCCAGAGGGGGCTCCGGTAGGGATGTCACGTGCGAACGACGGGACCTGGACAACTGTCACGCAACAGGCAACTTCAATCTTCGGAGTGGCCACGATACGCACATGGACGGAGTGGGGCGGCGCGCTGTGAACCAGATTCGAACATGTATTCGCCTCGGATTCTGCTCGCATGAAGCTGCGCACCTGGAAGCAGGTGGCGTCGGTCCAAGATTACACGGCAACATTCTGCAATTTGGCTGACCAAGTGGACGATATGAGCGACGCGGAGCGACTCGACCGATATGTCGCAGGCCTCAAGTACGAAGTACAGTACGAGGTGGGACGGGCGAGGCCACGCAGTTTTCTCGAGGCCGTCTAGGTGGCTGAATCAACGGATGCGCTGATGCAATGGGCGAGAATGAGTTCCCGGGAGGGCACTCAATTTCGTGGACCGCCGCGCCAGCCCACAATCAACGGGGTGGATGCACCGAGATGTGGACCTAACACGTGCTTCAACTGCAACCAACCGGGCCACTAGAGGAAGTACTGCCCGAAGCTGAAACAAGGAAACAAGAACGACGGAGAGGGGTCGGGAAAAGAGACGAGTCAGTAGCAGTCGGGCCACCTACTGACGCGACCCCGTCGCCCGGCAATCAACATCCACACCGAGTAGTGGTATCGATACGGGCTATCGACCGCAACCGGACGAATAAGGTGGATGAACACGTGGATCACCCTGTGCTGGTCGTGGGGAGGGTTAACGGGTATAAAATAAAATTATTCCTTGACGGTGGGGCGAGCCACAGTCTCGTCAACCTGGCAACGGCCAAAAAAATTGGGGTCAAGATGGACAGGTGTCTGCCCGAGATTGACGCGCGACTGGTGGATGGGACATCGCTGGCGATAAAAGACGAGGTCCGACAAATTCGGATGAAGTGTGGTGACGATTTCGGGTTTTCCATGCGGATGCTGGCGACAACACTGGACGGTTGCGATGTGCTGCTGGGAAGAGATTGGCTGCAGCGATTCAATCCGATAATCGACTGGACGACTGGGGCGATCACGGTGATGTGCAACAAGGGGCGCGTGACACTTCCGAAATGGGCGGAGCCGGAGCCGATGACAACACGTGTCAATGCAATAACACTGAAGAGGGCGATCAAACGGGGAGCGCAAGGCTACGCCGTACAGCTGTACGAGGTGGTGGCTTCCGAAAAAATCGCCGACATCGACACGCTCTGCGCTGCTGTACCCGACGACGTGGCGAGCATAATTCGGAGGTATCCCAAAATTTTCGCGGATGACCTGCCTGACGGGTTGCCACCTCAGCATCCGGAGGACCACATGATTAAGCTGGAGCCAGGCGCAAAACCAACTGTTCGGTCACAATGGCGGCTCAGCCAACCGGAGCTCGACGAATTGCGGAAACAGTTGGATTATCTGCTTTCTAAGGGTTTTATCCGGCCGGGCACGTCACCGTACGCCGCCCCGATACTGTTCACACCGAAGAAGGACGGAGGCCTGCGCATGTGCATCGACTACCGAGCGTTGAATCGGGTCACGATCAAGTCGCGTTACCCGATCCCACGAGCGGACGACATGCTGGACCAGCTTCGCGGGGCTCGCTTCTTCTCGAAAATCGATTTGCGAGGTGGCTACCACCAAATTCGTGTGTTCGCCGACGACTGCCCGAAGACCGCATTCCGCACCCGCTACGGCAGTTACGAGTACACTGTGATGCCGTTCGGGTTGACGAACGCACCCTCGACTTTCCAGCTCACCATGAATGGGGTGTTTCGGGACATGCTGGACAAGAAGGTCATTGTTTACCTGGACGACATCCTGGTGTACAGCAAGACTCGGGAACAGCATTTACAGGACTTAGAAGAGGTGTTCCGACGCTTGCAGCAGAACCTGCTAATTACGAAGGGCTCTAAGTGCGAGTTCTTACAGTCGGAGCTGGAGTTTCTGGGGCACGTGGTCTCAGGGGAAGGCATTAAAATTGACCCTCGTAAAGTAAAAGCGATTTCGGAGTGGAGGCCGCCTGCGAACATCACCGAGTTGCAGAGTTTCCTCGGCTTCGTTAACTACGTCCGCCGTTTTGTACCCAATATGGCGGGGGTAACCAGGCCGTTAACCGATCTTTTGCATAAGGGCGTACATTTTGGTTGGGGGAAGAAAGAACAGCTGGCCTTCGACGAGTTGAAAATAATTTTGAGTTCATCCCCGGTGCTTCGGCTGGCAGACCCATCTCGACCGTTCGAAGTCGTGACGGACGCCAGCGATTTCGTCGTAGGCGCTGTGCTACTACAGAACTTCGGCAACGGGCTGCAACCCATAGCATACGAGTCAAGAAAAATGCAGCCGCCCGAGCGCAACTACCCGGTTCACGACAAAGAAATGCTCGCCATCGTGCATGCGTTTGGTACCTGGTGCTGTTACCTCACGGGAGCTGACGTCACCATCCGAACTGACCACAATGTCAAACATTATATATGTTGTTGTGCGTGTTTAGGCTACAGTGGGTTAGCCTATAGGGGGTACACAATTCTAGGGTTAGGTACTTGTACTGATTTCACTGTTAGTTCAACCATTCCTGTTCGTTCATTTCAACTTGGTATAGAGCAGGTCCTTCCTAGGACCGTTTTTTTTAGGGCCCACCACTACCTACCTACCTACCTACCTACCTGCGCCCTAGGGCGCCTCGTTTTTTCACGGCCCTCTAAGGCCCCGCGACCCGCGACCCGCACCTTAGCGACCTGTGAGCCGCCCCTTAAGGCCCCGTCGGCCCCCATGCTCGCCCCTACGGCCCCGCGCTCGCCCCTTAGCGACCCTGTCGGCCCCGCGATCGCCCCTAACGGCCCCGTCGGCCCCGTTTTTCACGGCCCCCTAAGGCCCCACGACCCGCACGCCGCCCCTTAGAGGCCCTGTCGACCCCGCGCGCCGCCCCTTAGCGGCCCCACTGGCCCCGTCGACCCCGCGCGTCCCACCCTTAGAGGCCCCTGCCGGCCCCGTTGACCCCACGAGCCGCCCCCTCAGCGGCCCCGCTGACCCCGTCGACCCCACGCGCGACTCCCTTAGAGGCCCCAGCAGGCCCCGTCACCTCCACGAGCCGCCCCTTAGCGGCCCTGTCGGCCCCCTCTCGACCCGCGCGCCGCTCCGTATCACCGGGGTTCGCTTCTCGCACACTTGCGCTCGCTTACCGCACACCCGAGTTCGCTTCCCGCACACTTGTGCACGCTTCCCGCACACCTAAGTTCGCTTACCGCACACCCGAGTTCGCTTCCCGCACACTTGTGCACGCTTCCCGCACACCTGCGCTCGCTTACCGCCCGAACCAAACTGCGCCTCCCTACTGTGCCCCACCTGCAGCGGCTCCTGTTCCTGTTCC